ACCCCCCCCCCCCCCCTCCCTCTCACACACACTCGTGCTTACTGTTCGAGAAGGACGTGCTTGAGAGTGATTTTGAAATGGTTTAAATGACTTGTCATGTTCTCCCCTCCCCACACACACACCACATACTCGTGATTACTCTTCGAGAAGGACGTGCTTAAGAGTGATTTTGAAATAGCTTAAATCACTTGTCACGTTCCCCCTCCCCACACGCACACCACACACTCGTGCTTACTCTTCTAGAAGAACATGCTTAAGAGTGATTTTGAAATGGTTCTGTCATGTTCCCCCTCCCCACACACTCGTGCTTACTCTTCCACAAGGACTCTGAGTGATTTTGAAATGGTTTAAATCACTTGTCATGTTCCCCTCCCACGCACCACACTCGTGCTTGCTCTTCTAGAAGTACGCTCTTGAGAGTGATTTTGAAATGGTTTAAATCACTTGTCATGCATTTAATTACTTCAGAACATGCTTTTAATCATTCAAAATCAATTTCGTGTAACATGCCGTAAAATGTATATACAGGTTGCTGACTATGGACTCGTTGGCGATCTTTTCGAGATTATACCAGAGTTGCTCGAAAAGCTACCCGAAAGTAAGTAACTTTATCACTGGCTGAATAGTGTTGGAAGGCGTTCAAAGGGGGAAAAAGGATATCCCATTGTCTGAATCTTTGGTCATTTATACATACAAAAAGGATGTCAAGTCACGAAGGGTTGGTAATAGACCTGAAATCAATAAAATGGATGGTTTCCTCCCCACAAAATCGCAATATATGCTTTTTTTTTTAATTTTTTTTAATTACAAAAATTAACGGTTGAACTTTAAAAACGTCTAATAAATTTGAATCTTAAAATTTTTTAGATATGAAAAGGAAATTATCAATTAATTCTTTTTTTTAAAAAAATTGAATACTAGGACGGCTAGTTATAAAGTCGAAATTTTAAGGATCGGTTTGATATAAATTTTAAAGTTTAGGAATTTATTAAACCTAAAATAAAAAATTTGAGGACGAATTAGACAGAATGTTATATTAACTTTATTTCTAAAAAAATTAAATTGATAAACACTGATTATACTCATATTTTAATTTTAATTTTTTTATTTTGTAAAATATATATTTGAAATATTTTCTCAATTAAAAAAAATATATAAAAAATATATTTTGAAATGGTCCCTTAATGAAAATAAAAAAATAAAAAAATAAAAAAATTCATAACACTCATGAATATATAAATAAACAATTTCCATATATACAAATTTTTTAATTTTAATCTAATTTTCTTATATTAAAATGACGAGTTAGTTGGGAGACTCCTTTCCAATATATTCTTCCCAAATAAATTAAAATAATTATTCAAATTCTTCCCCTTAAAATAATAAATAAATAAATAAATAATTTGAATTTGATGATGTCAAATTATTGTTTATAGTTTACCTTTAGTTTGGAAGTCCCCTCACCCAAAATTCAATTTTTAAAAATTTAATGTCAATGATTTTTAAGAACTTTAATTAATTATCTAAATAATATATTCAATTTCTCTTTAATTATTTAAAATCCCACTAGCAATATTCTACCAATTCCTCCACATCTTAATGGGAGGAATATTATTTATTTAAAGTTGGATAATGTATAAATTAATAATCATTTTTTCCCAATAAAATAATGTTAATTATATTTTAATAAAAATAGTATACATTTTGATCGTATGCTGTAAGTAGTTGTTGCTGTCTTTTTGTTTGCATCACACGTAACACCAATTTTAATATTTCAAACCTATTTTTTGAAATCTTTCTGCCCCTGTTTTCTAAAACTTTCTTCTTGAACTGGGACTAGAGGCTCGAGCATACGTAGCTTGGCAGTAGGCGACGCAAGAACGGATTGACTTAACTCACTTCTTGCTGGGAAATGAGTTGTCGCACAATCACATATAACACCAATTTCAATCTTTCAAAACTCTCATTTGAAATCTCTCTGTCCCCGTTTTCTAAAACTTTCTTCTTAAACCGGAGCTAGAGGCTCGAGCATACGTCGCTTGACCGTAGGCAACGCAAGAATGGATTGGCTTTTTTGCTGGGAAGTGAGTGTTGCACAATCGCATATAACACCAATTTCAATCTTTCAAAACTCTCGTTTGAAATCTATCTGCCCCCGTTTTCTAAAACTTTCTTCTTGAACCGGGACCAGAGGCTCGAGCATACGTCGCTTAGCCGTAGGCAATGCAAGAATGGATTGGCTTAACTCACGTCTTGCTCGGAAGTGAGTGTCATGCAATCACAAGTCCGCTGCCATCAAAAGTGCGATTGTGATAAGTGTTTCTGTACTTTTTAACTTTATCGTTTTAATCTTTATACTTTTAAAACGTTACAATTTTGATCCTTATTTAAAAGATTCAGTGAATGAAGGGTCGTGCTACATTTTCAAAAGCGGATTGTTGGAGGGTTTTCGAGGAACCCCACGTCTCATTAGACTAGCGGATAGAAGCGAGTCTTCTTCAACCCTACAAGTACTGTTCTACACGTTTCGAAATAAACAAGACAAAAATGAAGTAAATTTCTTTCGAGTTTCACCTTCACCCCATGGCTAATATAGTCGTTTCAAAAACTACACAACAGTTTCGAGCTTTGCCCACTTCATTTCGACCCATTATATATCACCGTTAGTTTCACAATTTTTAACCGCATCTTTTAAGAAGAGATTTTCACACCCTTATAATGAATGTTTCGTTCCCCTCTTCAACCGAGGTAGGTTCTCACAATCCACCCCCGTAAGGGCCTAACGTCTTCACCGACCCACCGTTCAGTACCTTTTCAGATACCATTTATAACACCGAAAGTCGGCTATGCCTTCATTTGCTTGCAATAATATTACACATTTTATACAAACACATTATATATATATATATATATATATATATATAGATATAGATATATATATAGAGAGAGAGGAATTATTGATCCATATAATTAAGTATCATAGAAAAAGGTACTAAGCAAAGCCCTCTTTTCTTCAATTCTGTGTACTCACTGCCAATTCCAATTAAATCACCTATTTCTCTTCTCTCATGTACCTGCCCACAAAAAATGTTTTTTTATTCATAATAAATAATAATAATAATAATAATAATAATAATAATTAAAATTAAAAATTAAAAACCCTAATGAAAAAGTTTGAACCTTTTAAGGTAAAGTTCTCTCCTTTCCACTTCTATGTGTATTTACCTGAGGAGTTATCAGTTTCCCTTTGTGCCTCGGGTTTTTACTGAAGTAGTTCGAATCACAGACCTGCACGTTTTTCATGTTCAAGAAAACCCGTCACAAAAAACCCGTCACAAAAAACCCGTCACGAGATCGTTAAACTATCACTGAACTCAAAAGTTTATGTAAGACTGAATCGGGATGTTAATATTCTTCTTAGTTTAAGAGTTTGACTCAAAATGGACGAGAAATAATATTGTAGAAGTTCGAATGTGAAATCATGAAGTGTTGTTTGCTTAGAATGTCTAGAGCTGTGTAACGATTGATTTCCATATGTGTAAGGAGGAATTTCGGCTTGGCTTGTGAAAACACTGACAAGAGTGAAAGAGTTCTTCCTAATCTTAATAGTCAAAGCCTACCAACTCCCTCCTTGAACTCGAAGGATTAAACCCGAATGCTTCGTTCACTCTGTTCTCAATTGTTTCTATTGCTTTTGAAAGTCTTTATCTATCTCGAGAGATGCAAATTGTGATGTCCCACATTGGTTGGGGAGGAGAACAAAACACGCTTTATAAAGGTGTGGAAACCTTCCCCTAACAGACGCGTTTTAAAGCCGAGAGGGGAAGCTCGTAAGGGAAAGCTCAAAGAGGACAATATCTGCTACTGTTCTCAACTGTTCCTATCGCTTTTGAAAGTCCTTATCCATCCTGAGAGATGCAAATTGTGATGTCCCACATTGGTTGAGGAGGAGAACAAAACACCCTTTATAAGGGTGTGGAAACCTTTTCCTAACAGACGCGTTTTAAAGCCTTGATGGAAAGCTCATAAGAGAAAGCTCAAAGAGGACAATATCTACTAGTGGTGGGCTTGAGCCGTTACACAAATGATGAAAATATAAAGCTAGAGAAGGTATAGGATAGTGACACACACCTTGGGACTATTAACCGGAGAGCTAGCGGTGTCCTCCAAAGCTTCATCATCAACGAACACCTCATAGATCATCTTCCTCTTCTTGAAAAAGTTGATATGATCCTTGCAGCTAAACCCGGGATCCATGGCGGCTCCGTCGTGGTTTTCGAGTAGTTTGTGGTCCACGACGGAGGAAGCAGCGTCGGCGATAGGGTAGCTTTGATCGGGAGAGAGAGGAAAAGAAGAGAAGGAGGTGGGTGGTTGATTAGTAGGGTGGTGGTTGTTGAGGAAATCTTCAAAGTAGATGGTCCAACCACTCTCCTCCGACGACTGATCGCCGCCGTGGCAGACGGAAGTATGGGCGGAGCTTTCTTTGGCCATATTATGAAAGATAATAGAGAGAGAGATGGAAAATGGTGTTTTGAAAGGGGAAGAAAGGGAAGTATAAATAATAGTGTAAAGTTCCAAACTTGCATTTGTGGCCCCTTGCTTTGTTTATTCTTGCAATTGAGAGAGAGAAAAGAGTGACGAGATAAGCAAAAACCGAACCGAACTAAACCGATTGAGCCACATAAACTGAGCTGAACTGAACCAACTGAACCACACTGTTTGTCTCGACTTGTTTGAATATTTGGCGTTTTGCTCGAAAATGTATATCTTAACTGTTTGAGTTGTGCACAGGTTGATGACATATAAATCAGGGATTGAATAGGTCAACGTTTTGTTTAACGAAAAAGATGATAGGTCAACGCCTCGTGTCTACCCTCTTGGGTAGCCCCCACCAAATCCACCTCCTTTTGAAGCTCAGTGTTCTTACTGACACACCACCTCGTGTCTACCCTTTTGAAGTTGTATCACAATCCACCCCTTCGAGCCCAGTGTCCTTATTGGCACACCGCCTCGTGTCTACCCCATTGGGTAGCCTCCACCAAGTCCACCTCCCTTCGAAGCCCAACATGCTTACTGGCAAACCGCCTCATGTCTACCTTCCTTCGAGAAACAATCTCCTCGTTGGAGGATTGTCCGGTGTCTGGTTCTAATACCATTTGTAACACTTTGGGCCCACCGCTAACAGATATTGTCCTTTCTGGGCTCACCCTTGTGTTTCGTTCTTCTCCCCCAACAAACAACGTGGGACTCTCATAATTTAAGAAATTAAATATGATTTTTTTTTTGTGACCATTTTCATACGAAGGACCAAATTTTAAGATAATAAAAATAATTTTAAGATTTTTTTTGAAAATTATTCAAAATATTTAGAAATTTTTTAGATATTTAGCCTACAAAAAAGAAAAAAAAATCATTAATAAAATTCAATTTATTACTACAATAAATAAACAAAAGAAATGAAATAATTTTCTCTTGGAATCATCACAAAAATGGATAATTCAATAATTATAAAAAAAAAAAAAAAGACATTTAAATGCTAAAATATGCGTGTAGATTATATTATTATTTAATTTAAAAATTATCAACCCAAAATAAGTAGAAAATTAATATTATATTATTAAATTCTGAAAATATAGCATTTTAAAAAATTTAAGAATATTTAATAACCGATACGCAGACATTCTCGCATGGAAGGCATATCGGGGAAGGAGCAAACAGACTGATAGGTGCAGGAGTTCAGTTCACTCTCTCTTATTGGAGGGTCCCATTGGCGTGCATCCAGTAGGAATTGAACCTACGAATTCGCCAATTATGAGTTGGGCGGACGCAGCATGCTACTCTTTCCACTACTATGTGACTAGCAAATTCGCTGCGCTCCTAACGTTGCACTCCTAACCGGCTAGTTTCTCACCCTCGAGTACAGAGCTCTTTCCTTTCGGATCTTGATATTTAAAATTTATAATATTTAAATTTAAAAATAATTTTAATAAAGAATAATCCGAGAACCCAATTCAACCAAACTCGAAAATAGAGGATTGAGTTATTCCGATCATCAATAACTCATCTGTTATACTCTCTAAATTTATTATCGAAGAAACTTAATTTTGTAATTAAAAAATAAATTAAATATTAAATTAGCATTTAGTATATTTTTTTTGAAGGGAATATTTGAAGGAATCTATTATTATCCTATTGACTTCAATTATAATAATATAAATAAATAAATAAATAAATAGAAGCTTAAATCAAATTTATATTTTAGAATACGTGATTTAATTTTTTTAAAAATTAATTACTTTTATAATTCTTAATCATAATCGTGTGTCATTGTCAGTAATAAAAATATTAATATTTTTTCTCTAAATCCAAAATTTTGAATGTTATTTGAAATCAATTTATTTATTATTTTATTTGTACTGAAAGAAATTAAAAAGATTAAATAGGAGCTGTGATTAATTATTCGCTCAATTAATAAAAATAATCATAAATTTCAAAACTTTGTTTAAAAAATACCCCATCGTCTCACTGACCCGACCTTGACGCCTGTTATTTTGAGATCATATCTAGTATTTAGAGTTTGCCTCGATTTGGTATCGCTCTCGCCGCCCGCACTGAAACAGTGCTTTACCCCTAGATGTCCAATTCTGCTGCTGCCTTAACACATCTCGAGGAGAATCAGTTAGCTCTGGGTTCAAATGGCATTTCACCCCTAACCACAACCGCTGATTCTTCAACATCAGTTGATTCTGATCTCCACTTGGTTTCACCCAAGCTTTTTCCTGGTCATGGATAGATCACCTAGGTTCGGGTCCATAAGCAGTGACAATTGCCCCATGAAGACTCGCTTTCACTCTGACAACTTTCAAAAGTTTGATTAATACCCTTTAAATTTTTTATTTTTATTTTTGAAAAAATACATTTATCGTGAGTAATGTTTAAAACAAAAGTTTTAAAAAATTCTTACCATATATATATATGGACAAAAACAGTCTATCCACACCTCATAGATTATCTACAAATATTTTAATATTATTCTAGAAAGTTCATGAGTATTTTTTAAACGTTGTACTAAACGTAAATGTGTATATATATATATATATATATATATATTTTTTTTTTTTTGAAGTTTTTAAAAAGTTTAAGAATATTAATTAAAAATTTTAAATTGACTATATTTTTGAAACAAAATATTAATTAAAGGTATTTTTTTTAAGACAAAATACAAAATATATATATATATATATATATATATATATATATATATATATATATATATATATATTTT